TCATTTCAGATGCCCATTTTTGAATTGGGTCTTTGAATTTGGGGGGGGTCTGATTTTTTTCAGTTTTTTATATATTCTAGATAGTAGTCCTTTGTCTAAGGTACAGCTGCTAAAAATTTTTTCCCACATTGTAGGTTGTCTCTTAGCTCTGTTGGTGGTTTCTGTTGCAGTGCAGAGGCTTTTTAATAATATGGTGCAGGACTGTAATCCCAGAACTCAGGAGGCTAAGGCAGGAGGATTGCCATGAGTTCAAGGCCAGTCTGGCTACATAGTGAGTTTAAGGTCGGTCTGAACTACATAGTGAGACCCTGCCTCAAAAAAAAGGAAAGAAGCCAGACATGAAAGACTACATGTTGTATCATGTCACTTATATGAAATGTTTAGCATAGGCAAATAATAAAGATACTCAATTAATGGTTGCCAGGGGCTAGGTGTGAGAGAGAGTGAAGAGTGACTATAAGGAGTATGGAGTCCCATTTGGGGAGGTGAAAATATTCTGAAATTATATCGCATTGATAGTTGCACAGCTCTGTGAATATACTAAAAGCTACTGAATTGTAGTTTAAAAAGGTGAATTTTATTGTATATGAATTTATTTTTATGGTTTTGTGAATTATATCATAGGAAAATGTGAAGCATGAAATTTTATTCAAGACACACATTATGTGCTCAAGATGTACAATAAGCACAGTAGTATAGCATACAGGAGGCCCTGGAATCAATTCCCAGTGCCCACATACATGTATGTATACATATATGTAAACACACATACAGTAAACATTTAAAATATAATCCAGTTAAAATAACAAGTATGGTGAAGGAAAGATAGTGGAAAAGATAGGAGAAAAAACAGTTGGTTCGAAAAAGAAAATAAGACAAAATAAGAGAAAAGGAGGCTAATTTCATGATTTTTGACATAATAGAAAATGCCTCTCATTATTTTCTAAGTTTCCCTTGATCTTTAGAATGCAATTGGCTAGGAAGTACTGCCTTTGAGCTTCTAATTAACCAACTGGCTGTTGTTTCCAGATTTTTGAATTGCTGTTGCTCTTTTTTTTTGTTTGGTACCGGAGATCGAACTTGGGTCCTTGCGCTTGTGAGGCAGGCAGCAGAGCCACTGATCTAAATCCCCAGCTCTGCTGTAGCTCTTAAAGTCTTCAGTGGCTTAGGGTTTTTGCCAGTGAAATTAATGTGCAGAGGACACAGAAGCTGCAGAATCAGTCAGTGACCGGAGCTGGAGTTGGGTTTTGTATCTCAACACCACGTAAACGCAAGGCACAGGCTCTCCACTGTCAGCATTAATCCCATTGTTGACAATCACCTCAAGAAACCCAATAGGTGGTCTTTCTTCTTCTCTAGGACAGACTTACCACTCTCGCCCATCAAGTACAATTTTATAGCTAAATAATTCGAGGTCTTGGGCATAAATTGGTCCTGACCTATTTATTCTCAGGCTCCAAATGGGTAGAAAGCTCAGCCTGTAGACCCAGGGCCTGGCATGGACTCTGAGTGCGTGGTAGGCCTCTTCTCATAATCAGAAGTGACCTTTCCTAATGAAACAAAGGTAACAAGAGGCTAGGAGAGCAGTTATTATACAGCTGTGAGAATGAGCTGCAGACTAAGAATGGTGCTGTCTGACGTTCTGGGCCTCCTTGGAAGTGACCACAGCCTTTCATCCCTTTACCCTCTCTGGGCAGTCAGGGAAGTCTGACTGGGAAGTCTGAGGCAGGCTTCTGCTTTTGCCTCAAGTGTATACCCTCTCTTCCATCTTTTCTCCCAGTTCCGCCCCTCTTCCTCTCTAGTCTGGTCAAGAGCAGCGCCTTTGTAACAGGCTTTCTAGACTCTGATCTTGCCTCCCCCAGACCCACGCTTCACCCTGGGAGAGTGATGTCTCTAAGGCGAGTCACACCATGGAGTTCTCTGTGTAGGGAGCAGGTGGCGCTATAGGCAGAAATGATGCTGACAGCAGGAAGGACTGAGCTTCCTTGCAGGGTTCTCAGATGCAGGAACCTGAGGATATCCCTGTATGAAGTGGCTGGGTCAGCTGACACTCTCAGCACTTTTAATAGCACTTTGGTCACAGTAGATCAAAAAGGGGAGTATATTTAAAAAAACAAAACTCCCCTGTAATAATAGCTATAGTGCAGTGAGCACATCCCAGAAACTCAGAGTCTCAGCGTGCATTGCCAGTGTCAGCCTCTGGGGAGGGGACTGTCCAGTCAGTGACATTTGAGTTGTGTCTCAGGTCCTGTTGTGCTAAGTTTCTGGTCCTGAGTTCTTTTGTGAATTAGAGCTGCTACCTCTATTTCTGGGACTCAGGGCCATGAACAGAAAATCTGTGGAAAAACATTTGCAGGGAGGTTTGGGAGCCCCTAAGCTAGCCAAGCAGAGAGCCTGATGTGCAGCCAGACTTTTCTTGTATCCAGAACCAGATGATGAGTTATGTTCTCCCTTGGGACAATCCCTCCCCACCCTTTGAAATGTCTCATTATCATCACAACTGTCTTCAGTAGGCTTCCTGCTGGTGTGCCACAGGCCCAGTGACTCTCACCCTCAGTCTTGCAGCCGGACTAGATGTTTAGTGCCCAAAGGACCATCGCAGGGAAGCAGTGACCGCTGCCTGGCTGTCTGTGTTGCAAAAGGAGGCTGAGCTTTGATAAAGGGGCATTGTCTGCCCCAGGGAATGGTGCTTGGGAGTCTGTGTATTTGCCAGTCCTGGACCACACTCTCAGCATCCAGGAAGCGATAGGTCGCTCCAGGTGACCATGTCAGTTCTGCCTCATGTGTGTACACAGATTACCTGGACTGTGCAAGACAGAGCATCCCCAGAGCCAGGTCCAGGACACTCCCCAGTCTTGAGCCCAGCACTTGGCTCTCATCTCTGCTGACAGAGCTCAGGCTGGGCAGCTTCTCATATTCCCATCTGCCTGACGTGTAACTTTTTCCGATGATGCACTAGACAGATGAAACTTAGGGTTCTCAGCTATGCAAATGAAATGTAAAGAATTTCTCCCAATTGCCTTGCTGACTGACTAGGGAATATGTAGATGTTTGATTTTCGGACATTAAGGTTTTAGTCAAAGGCTGCTCATCATCTTGGAAATTTCCAAAACACCATGGCTTCTCTTCTGCTAATTCCCAGATCAGTGAAGGCCAATACACATATACCAGTAGAGAGGAAAGGGCAGATCTCTGAGCATAGGACATTAAGCCAGAACTTGTTACTGCCTTACCTTGGGCCACTCACAGAAAGCTTCCCGGCTATACCCTGTGTAAGAGGGGGTGGCCACAAGAGCACCCAGTGCATTAGGAATGAGGCAAGAAGCCTTTTCTTTCCAGAGCAAATGCTGTAAATTGATTGTGCTAAATATCCTTAATTTATTTTTTTAAATACAAAGAGAGGGACAACTATGAGAGATTTATTTAAATTATAAGGAAATGTCTGCTTAATTCTAAGAGACTGAGATGATT